TCTTATTACTGCTCTAAATAGACGACATTTGAAGCAATAGAGGCAAGTTTCCCTATTCCATTTTTTTAGATGTTCGGATTTAGATTCCTCGTGATTTGTGCTTTTAGGTACATAGAGTCTTCGACAATATTCCTAATAACAATACGAGTATTATTACTATTATTTTCTTTTCGAAAATTGTAACCCTGAATTTAGTCCCATTTGCAAAAAAATAACTAAAAAAGACAAACGTAAAGCTAAAAAAACCAGTAAAGAAAGTCCTAAAGTCGGGCGGTGCCGACTTTATGATACCCTACACCACTTTGCTAATTTAGTAGAGCTGCGCATAACAATTAAAAGTTTTTATGGGAGAACTCAATCATACACGCTATGATTACAATTATAATTTAAAGTTCAAAGGACCAAATATGCCGAAGCATTTGTATCTTTTAAATTCGGACTTGTATTGCCCATTTGGTGCAAAATTATTTTAAAATCGGAAAAATATATATATGGGAGCTATATCCAAATCTGAACCGATCTCGAAAAAAATTTGCAAATATATTTCTAAGCTGTATATAAAATATTTCCTGAAATATCGTTGTTACAGAGTGCATATTACGGCTGTGGGTAACAAATACTAGAAATCGGATGAACAATATATATGGGAGCTATAGCTATATCAGAAGCGATCTTCACCAAATTTGGCATAAGAGCTTCTATACTCAATTCAGTCATAAGTGCCAAATTTCATGCCATTTGGACAAATATTAGACGTTTGGTGCACAATAAAATGTAAATCGGACGAAGTTATATATGGGAGCTATATCCAAATCTGAACCGATCTCGATAAAATTTAGCAATGGTATTTCTGAGCTGCATTTGATATATTTCCCCAAATATTGTTGTTACAGAGTGCATATTACGGCTGCGGAGGACACAAATAACAAATCGGATGAACAATATATATCGGAGCTATAGCTATATCTGAACCGATTTCGATCAAATTTGGCATACTTATTTTCAGGCCTAATTTGGATGTATGTGCAAAATTCCATACTGTTCGGGCTGATATTACACGTTTGGTGCACAATAAAAGGCAAATCGGACGAAGATATATATGGGAGCTATATCTAAAATTTTACCGATTATCTCCAATTTCAAGAGGGTTCGTCCTTGGTCCAAACAAATGTTGTTTGCAAAATTTCATCTCAATCGGATAATAAATGCGACCTGCATTTTGTTCACAAGAATACATGGACAGACGGACGGACGGACGGACAGACGGACTGACATGCATAAATCAACTCAGAAAGTGATTCTATGCAGATCATCAAAAGGAACTATGGGTCTATCTCGTTTCCTTTTGCCTGTTACAAACAAATGCACAAAGACATAATACCCTTACCACCATGTGGTGTAGGGTATAAAGAAGACACAAGGAGCAAAAAGACGCCTTTGTCGACTCTTTTAAAAACACTATATACTGTTATCTTGGGATGTAAACATTCAAAACGTCGATACCCGTGTTTTATTTTTATACACTCCACCATAGTATAGAAAGTATATTAAGTATGTCATTCCCTTTGTACATGTTATGTACATTTTAGACCCCAAAAAGTACTGATCTGCATAAAATTTAACGATGTCCGTCTGTTCGACTGTGGAAACCACTCTAGATTCCAAATGAAATGAACTAGGTTGATAACATTTTACTCAGATGTGTGTTTGGTCTGCAGGACTTTTTGTATTGAAAATAGGCTATATTGGTCCACGTTTGGGTATTGCTGTAACAGTATGTGTTCCCATTATATAAGAAACTCGGTGCATAGAGCTGTCAATATATGTTTTAGTTTTGGTATAGTCCCACATAACTGTACCTCCAGATATTCGATATTTTGATGATTTGTCTCGCGACTGGTATTTTGATGATTTTATGTTTATATTTGAAGTTCTTAATGGGTACTACAAGCTGTGAGAGAAAATTGCCCGTGCAGGTGCATGTCTTTGTATAGCCCCCATATAACGGTAACTCCCTATATTCGGTATTATGCAACACTATGTGTTGGGGGTATTATAAGTTTGATTGGGCCAAAAATTATGTAACACCACGAAATATTGGTTTCCCACATAGGAAAGTATATATGGATCTTCCTATCTCGCCGAGCTGAGTCGATCTAGCTATGTATGTCCGTCCGTCCGTCTGTCCGTCTGTCCATGTTAATTTGTAATCACTCTACAGGTCGCAATTATGGCCCGATCTTCACGAAATTTAGAATGGAGGTGGGGCTAGGGTCAGAATAGAACCCTATTTCTTTTGGAGATGATCGCATAATATTTAGGGGTTGAAATGGACCAAAAACTGAAAAATTTCCTGATTTTGCAGTTGCTCTGCAGGTCACAATTATAGACCAATCGAAGGGAAAGTTAGCATGGGGCTAGAGCTTTGGGCTGGGCAGGAGCCTTCCAATTTTGATTTTGGTCATCGGGTAACATTTAGTGGTTGAAATAGACCATAACATTTGTGATAAATAAAAGTAAAATTTACCATTAAACCGCGAATATTTTTAGCGCCGACGAAATCACAAATAGACGAACAGGTCAATTCTGACCCTTACGTCGATGCCGATAGAAAAAATATCGGATATATTTAGCGAAATATATATAATGTATATATACAAAGGAAGAAGATGTTAGCTAGAATGCTTATATTTCCAGAATGGCTGGAGCAATTTTGACAAATTTTGTAAAATTAGAATGCCCTTTTGGGATAAAAGTATAAAATCTAAAAAAATCGCATAAAAAGATACCAATTATGATGTTAATATAGATTTCGTAGTATTTTGTGACATTTTTTTATTTTTACATTTTATATTTTTGCACTTTACAATAGAGGTTGGGGTTATTATTTATTTACAGATTGCAATTATTGTTCGATCCTCACGAAATTTTTGGCAAAGGTAGGGTAAGGCTCAGAAGGGCTTCAAAGATGTCCGCAATATATTTAAGGGATGAAATGGACCAGCAACTCAAAATGTTCCTGATTTTGCAGCCGTTATAAAGGTCTCAAATACAAACCAAAGGACATGAAATATTGCATGAAGTTAGAATTTAAGACAGCGGGTAGAATGGACCACTACTTTTGTGTGAAAAAATACCAACATTACTTACATGTGATATCCGAAATACACAATAGGCGAACTTCTAGCTTTTTATGCTGATTTCGTTGACGAATATAGCCAAATTGCTCTTGGAGATAATCGCAAAATATTTAGGGGTTCAAATGAACCAAAAACAGAAAAAAAAATCCTGATCACACAATTGAAGCCAATCGACACGCCTCAAAAGATAGTTAAGCACACTAAAGAATTCTAGCCTTTTGGAAGACTATTGGATTATGTTTAGCCGTAAAATGGACCACAAAAACTAACAGCACGACGGAGTGCATAAATATCAGGAAAATGTCCCTGGTAATATCTGGGCAGTGCTCCGTGACATAATTTCAAAAGCGAAATCTTCCAAAATGGATTTGGACATGAAGGGGCTTCTCACATATTGTAGTGTTGTAGGGTATCACATGGTCGGCCCCGCATGACTATAGCCTTTGCTTACTTGTTTTTGCCAGAATTGTATCAAAATTTGTATTTGGAGTTACTAATGGGTACTAAAGCCTGTGACAGAAGTTTGCATACAGGGTCAGATGAAGAAACTGCAACAAACTTCAGACTGCTGTCATTTCTAAGACACTCGTCTGACAGCTGTTAAAATTATTCGAGTGACAGTTCATTATATTTTCCAGAAGTAAAAGAAAAGAAAAAAAGTTATTCGTAATGGTATTCAATCGTGATAGTGTGATTTCTTTATATTTGGCTCTAAAACCACAAGTGGCTATCGTTAGAGCACTCCAGCATTTAAATGTGAATAAATCTTTTGTGTCTCGTACCATCGCTCGTTACCGTGATACTGGTAGCATAGGCCGATGTCAAGGAAGTGGACGGAAGAAACCACCAACATCAGCAGAAATGGTTGGAAAAGTAAAGAGACTTGATCGAAATCCGCGTCGCAGTGGCTTGTGAGCTGAACATATCCATTCGGCAAATATTGAAAAATGAGCTAGGGATAAAGCCATTGAAATTCCAAAAATTACACCCCAAGAGAGAAGGAAAGAAAATAGACTCAAAAGAGCTAAAGAGTTGCTTCGATTGACCGAAAGTGGTGAACTGCCGAATTTGGGTTTTCTCCGATGAGAACACATTCGTTGTCCAGCAGTTTGTAAACAAACAAAATGATCGTGTTTACTTGTCAAAGAGATCAGCTGAAAATGTGAACCTTCGGTTGGCCACCAGAACTCAAGTGCCGGCCATGGTGATGGTGTGGGCCGCCATAACAGCGACCATAGATCTCGGCTCGTATTAATCGACCGTGGTATCAGAATAAATGCGTTTGACTTTGTTGCTGTTTTTTTATCTCACCCCGTATACTTTGAAAATTTGGAAATTCTTTCCAAACCGGCCGAACTCACGGTAATGTCAGCTACACCAAAACTTGGACCATTATCGATGAGTAGAGGGATGGCTTCTACTACTCGCAACTTGTACGACGTATGCAAATACTAATACTATTACCATTGCCAATGCGTGTAACTGAAAAAGGGTGCAATAGACAGGAAAAATCCTTACCCTCCAGTGACCTTTGTAAGATGGCTAAAGCAACACATTCAAAAGGAAACCAACCCATTTTGATTTATTTGATGTGGTCGTACAAATGCAATATTTCGGACGACCATAAAAGAATTTAAATTAACCCCCGAAAAATAAATGTCAATAAATGTTTACTCATTGTACGCTCTTCGACTAATGTGCTTTTAGAAATTGCGGACGAACTTTGTAATAGATTAAATTAACTCTTTTACCATGTGACAATAAAATGATGTCGTGTGGTGTAAGTGACCATTTATTGTTGCCCAAACAAAAGAAGAAAGGAGAAATTCTAAAATTTAAGCCGTAGCATAGAATACTTACCAAAACTGGATGCAGATCCACCCCATACATATCATGCCATTTGACTTTGTCTAAATAATTGAGCTCCGCCGCGGCCGGTGACATACCCTTGAGCTGTTGATGTAGTTCAGCAACCCGATTTTCCAATTCACTACTTTGATTGGGTAGTAAACGAAATTCGGAGACATAACCTTTGGAGTGGCGTCTTTGGTCATAATCACCCAGTTCAGCTGGAAAATAGAGGACATATTTAATAATCCTGAATTCTACCCCGTTTGTTATACATCTTCCTAATTTATTAATAATTTGCAAAATTGTTACACTTACACTGCACAACAAATGCTCCCAATTCGGCAGCCAATTCAAAGGCAACTGGTAGCCTTCCTTGCAGGACATCCTGTTTGACTTGCAGAAACAATTGATATCTGAAAATTGAGACATTATGTAAATATCAACAATAAACAACAACAACAATTACATGGACATTACAGAGCCTAGATGTGAAAGTTAAAATATCATTTGTAAAAGTAAACAAACAAAAGTGTAGATGTGTAATCATAAGATAACATTTGTAGACTGTGGAACATTCGTATAACTAATACACAAATATTTTATGTGTATATACCCAGCGAACTAAATTACACGAGTTCGATGTGTCTTTGAACCAAAAATCAGAAGAAAATTCCGATTTGGGATACGTATTCTTTGCGACTTCTGACCGAAAGTTATATGGAGTGGTTGAGGTGTTGTCGAACCGAAGGGTCGAATGAAAATCGGAAGATTTAGACGAATTTCGAAACGAAGTCCCACCGAACTGACCGAGTTCGATCTGACTTCGGACCGAAAGTCGGAAAAGACACATTTTCGCAAGTTATGGCAGATAAAATATTTGTTAAATTGTGACCCTTCGGGGGTTAGGTACCAGTAGGGTTCAGAGGTATATATCATCTTCAGAACAGATCTTGTGTTAGCAAAAGTGTTCGTATGTGTGAAATTTGAAGAGAGTTGGATGCTTATTTCACTATCTTAGAGCGTTTTATTTTTCGAAATTGAGATGTACCAAGACCTGAATAGAATTGGAGCTTAACTTTGCGTTTTATGAGCTCCATTGACATTCAATTTTGACGCTATGTGGGGGAATTGCAGAAGGAGTACGCCGATATATCCCATCTTTACAGAAGATCTTGTGTTAGTAGAAGTAATGGGATGTGTGAACTTTGAAGAGAACCGGATGCATCTTTCGGTTTTTATAATAGATTTGTTTATTCAAAACATTGACCCTTCGCGGTGGAGGTACTAGAAGGAATGGTCCGATCTCTAGCATCTTTATAACATATCAAGTCTGAATGAAATCGGATGTTAATTTTACGTTTTATGAGCTCAATATATATTCAAAATTTTGACCCTTTGTGAGGGAGGTACCAGAAGGAGTGGATCGATCTATTCCATCTTCACACCAGACCTTGGGTTAATAAAAAAAATATTGTGATATGTGTAATTTGAAGACAATCGAACTCTTACATCACATTTATTATTAGCTATAATTATTTAAAATTTTGATCCTTTGTTGGAGAGGTACTTTATGGAATGGACCGATATTTTTGCAATCCATTTTCCATTTTTTTTTTTAATGAAAATATTAGGGTTTGCAAAGTTGGAGCAAAATTTGATTATCATTTCCTTTTCTGTGCAGTAAAATATATGTTTTATTAAATTTCGACCTTATGTGGGGGAGGTATCAGTCTAGTTTGACAATAATATCACTATGTGCCAAGTTTGAATCAAATCGGATATCGTGCATATCAGACAGACGTACGGACGGACGGACATCGATAGATCGACTCCAAATGTCTTTAAACGGATTTGGTCCAAAACCGTTTTCGATGAGGCACGTTTTGGCCGTATCAAATGATTTATACAGGGTGAGATAAAAAAACTGCAACCAATTTCAGACTGCTGTCATTTTTAAGCCACTCGTCCGACAGCTGTTAAAATTATTCCAGTGACAGCTCAATGTATTGTTTACAAGCGTACGAAAGCATTTTGGTGAGAATTTTCCAGAAAAAAAGTTATTCGTGATGGAATTCAAGCGTGATAGTGTGATTTCTTTATATTTGGCTGAAAAAACCACAAGTGGCTATCATTAGAGTACTTCAGCATTTAATTGTTAATAAATCTTTTGTGTCTCGTACCATCGTTCGTTATCATGATACTGGTAGCGTAGCCCGACTTCAAAGTAGTGGACGGAAGAAAACAGCAACATCAGCAGAAATGGTTTGAAAATAAGTGATCGAAACCCGCCGAAAAATGAGCTAGGGGTAAAGCCATTGAAATTCCAAAAAGTGCAAGAACTTACACCGCAACAGAAAGAAAATAGACTTAAAAGAGCTAAAGAGTTGCTTCGCTTGGCCCAAGGTGGTTAACTGCCGAATTTGGTTTTCTACGATAAGAAAACATTCGTTGTCCAGCAGTTTGTAAACAAACAAAATAATCGTGGTTACTTGCCAAAGAGGTCAGCTGAAAATGTGCACATGCGGTTGGCCACCAGAACTCAAGCGCCGGTCATGGTGATGGCGTGGGTGGTGTAGCATCGGAATAAATGCGTAATATTATCGCGAAAATATTCTGGAGGGTGTATTAAAGCCTTGGGCACGCAAATATTTTGGCTGCAGACTTTGGACATTCCAACAGGTCTCAGCACCATCGCACTCAGCACGCGCTACCCAAGAATTTCCAACGCACAATGACCACCAAAATCTCCCAATACGAATCCGTTGGACTATTGTGTCTGGAGTATTTTGGAAAGCAAGGTTGGCACTAAAAAACACCAAAGTGTCGATTATCTTCTTCTTGCGAAAAAACGACTTTGAAATTTTCTCTACTGAAATAGAATTTGGTATTCTATAATAGTTTAAAAACTTTTAGTTCATAAAACTAATTTATTTTCTTTAAATTAATCTTTGTTTTTGGTAATTTCACCTCTGTGCGTCGGAAAAAACTTCCGACTTTGAGCCGATGTGTCGGACGTCCGACATTTGGTTTGCTGGGTAAAAGCAAACATATATTTGCAGTCTATACAACAACATTTCCATAATCCTTTAAACAAAATAAACAAATTTACATTTTGGACCAGTGGACAACACTCTCTGCAGGACTATAAATGAGGACAGCTTTTGAAATCTCCACACAACAGTTCCTCAGTGATTTTGTGTAAACCCCATTTTGATATCAATGGACTTGTGTTTATCAGACTTTTGACCAAACACTCTCACATTGATGTTCTATGTGTTTAATATTTTGCTAAACGTTTATATTTACCTAAATTATTACTTGGAGTCCAACAACCAGTTACTGTCAACATTGAATTGTGTCCGTGACTTCAAGGGTTGGGTAAAGGATGAGTATAGGAATACGAATGAGAGTAGCTATCTCAGTTTGGTTTAATATGACTATGAGATAATTTTAATAATGTTTAAATGACTGAACTGAAATCATGCTAATTCCAGTATAAAAATATTATTTTTGGAGGACTAAAAATCTGTTTTACTCAACCATATAGAAATATGACGCTTAAAATACCAATAAATCTCTAAGTGAAAATTAGCTCTCAAAAATAGCATCTAATAGCCATCGCATACTGGTTAAGGCGTGGGATATGGCTAGATTCCAATTTTCAATTCTATCCCCTTAGGTCCTTTTAAGATAAATTCAAAAGAGAAAATTATGGAAAGTTATGGTTATTATTACAATTTATTTTTATACCCTACACCACAAGGTGGTCAGGGTATTATGTCTTTGTGCATTTGTTTGTAACAGGCAAAAGGAAACGAGATAGACCCATAGTTCCATCTGCATAGAATCACTTTCTGAGTTGATTTATGCATGTCAGTCCGTCTGTCCATGTATTTTTGTGAACAAAATGCAGGTCGCATTTATTATCCGATTGAGATGAAATTTTCCAAACAACATTTGTTTGGCCCAAGGACGAACCCTATGGAAATTGGAGATAATCGGTAAAAATTAAGATTTAGCTCCCAAATATATCTTCGTTCGATTTGTCTTTTATTGTGCACCAAAGGTGAAATATCAGCCCGAACAGAATGGAATTTTGCACATACAACCAAATTAAGCCCTGAAAATAAGTATGCCAAATTTTATCAAAATCGGTTCAGATATAGCTGTAGCTACCATATATATTGTTCATCCGATTTGTTATTTTTGTCCTCCGCAGCCGTAATATGCACTATGCAACAACAATATTTGGGGAAATATATCAAATACAGCTCAGAAATACATTTGCTAAATTTTATCGAGATCGGTTCAGATTTGGATATAGCTCCCATATATAACTTCCTCCGATTTACTTTTGATTGCGCACCAAACGTCTAATATTTGCCCAAATGGGATGGAATTTGGCACATATGACCGAATTGAGTTTAGAAGGTAGTATGCAAAATTTGGTGAAGATCGGTTCAGATATAGCTATAGCTCCCATATATATTGTTCATCCGATTTGTTGTATTTGTTACCCACAGCCGTAATATGCACTCCGTAACAACGATATTCAGGGAAATATATCAAATACAACTCAGAAATATCTTTGCCAAATTTTATCGAGATCGGTTCAGATTTGGATTTAGCTCCCATATATATCTTTATCTGATTTAGAATTAATTTAGCACCAAATGGGCAAACAAGTCCGAATTTAAAAGATACAAATGCTTCGGCGTATTTAGTCCTTTAAATTTTAAATTATAATTATAATCATAGGGTGTATGATTGAATTCTCCCATAAAAACTTTTACTTGTTATGTGGAACTCAACTAAATTAGCAAAGTGGTGTAGGGTATCATAAAATCGGCCCCTCCCGACTTTAGGACTTTCTTTACTGGTTTTATTTTCTTTTTTTTTAACTTTTTAAACATTAAACTTTTAATTCAATGCTTTTCTACAAAACTTCAATTTCCACATCAAAAAATGGAAATCTCTCTCTGGCTTTGCAGTTACATAAAGAAGTTGTTAAACTAAGCTAATTTGTCAGCTTCATTTCCTTGGCAGTTGTGACTGAATGCTGTCATGGCTAAATCAAAGAGTAAAATTATCTTTTTGTCAATTCGATTTCAATATCATATTTGGTTTGTCTCTGCTCCCATTTCATTTTTTTGAATGGTTTTGTTAATGACCGCAGCAGACATTGAACAAGCAAAATTGACATAAAAGCCAACCAAATTTGAAAGAAGATAAAGTAGAACACAAATCCGAGTATTGGTTACAAATGTTACACTGGGAGATAAATCAGGATAGAAGATTACACAAGAAAATATAAACGATTGAAGAGAGTACAACATAATAAGATTAATATTAAGTAACAATTATTAGAATTACATGAATATAATAAAAACAATAATAATATAAATATAATTACAATATCGATAGCGGAAACACTGTGTGAAAAAAAAATATTGATATAAAATCTAATTTTTGGAGGCTCTAATGATAAATTTTCAGTTCTAAGTAAAATTTTATTTTTTTTATTTAAGAAATTATAAAGCCTATTTTATTTCCAAGCGATACTATAGTGTATTCGGAAATATGCGGGAAAATGGGTTTAGAGGGTTTTAAGTCTCTGCCTTTCAAGATAATGTTTTAACAGATACGTATTTGAAATTCTATTGGAAAACTTGGCGAATATCATTATAGGGAGTGATAAAAACTGCAACAAAGTCATACTTTATACTTTTTATACCCTCCACCATACTATGGAGGGTATATTAACTTTGTCATTCCGTTTGTAACTCCTCGAAATACTCATATCAGACCCAACAAAGTATATATATTCTTGATCAGCGTAAAATTCTAAGTCGATTTAGTGATGTCCGTCTGTCTGTCTGTCTGTCTGTCCGTCTGTCTGTCCGTCTGTCTGTCTGTCCGTCTGTCTGTCTGTCCGTCCGTCTGTTTTAATCACGCTATCTTTCGAATGAATTGAGATAGTTGGCTAAAATTTTGCACACATGTTTATTTTTCGTAAATGGGCCATGTAGGTCCACGTTTTCATTTTGATGATTTTAGCGACATTATTCACGGGAATTGTTTCAAATTTGGTATTTGAAGTTCAAAATGGATACTACACCGTAAGACAGAAAATTGTCTGTGCAGGTCTACGTCTTCATATAGCCCCCATATAACGGTACCTCCCTATATTCGGTATTTTGATGATTTTAGCGACATTATTCACCGGAATTGTTTTAAAATTGATATTTGAAGTTCGTTATGGGAACTACAGTCTGTGACAGAAAATTGTTTGTGCGGGTCCAGGTCTTCGTATAGCCCCCATATAACGGTACCTCCCTATATTCGGTATTTTGATGATTTTAGCTACATTATTCACCGTTTATTCCAAGTTTCGAATTTGAATATGGTAATGGCTTATGACAAACAATGCCTATGTATGTCCACGTCGTATAGACCCCAAAATAACGGCTATATTCGGTATTTTTAAAATTTTAACAGAATTTTTTAAGGATTTTATTTTTTGAAAATTTCTAAATTCGTTGCAAATGGTGGAGGGTATTAAAAGTTCAGCCCGGCCGAACTTACTGCTTTTTAACTTGTTATTCTTTTTTAAATGTTATTGAATAAAAGCAAAACATGTCGGGTATAGCATCAAATGTTAGAATAAGTTTATATATGTTCGAATTGGTCACCTTTGACACGAATTATGGCCTTCAAACGGCCAATGAAACCGTCACACGCTGTCCGAAGCGATTGCTTGAGGTGATCGACACTTTGGAATTTTTTACACCAGACACAATAGTCCAACGGATTGGTTTCCGGAGATTTTGGTGGCCATTGAGCGCTGGAAATGAAGCGAGGAACTTCATTTTGCAACCATTCTTGGTTGGCGCGTGCTGAGTGCGATGGTGCTGAGTCCTGTTGGATAGTCCAAGGTTTGCGGCCAAAATGTTTGCGTGCCCAAGGCTTTAATATTTTCGCTATAATATTCGGCATTTATTCTGATGCCATTATAGATTAATACGAGCGGAGAGCCACCATTTGCTGTTTCGGCAGCCCATACCATCACCATGGCTGGCGCTTGAGTTCTGGTGGCCAAACGAAGGTCCACATTTTCAGCTGACCTCTTTGGCAAGTAAACACGATCATTTTGTTAGTATACAAACTGCTAGACAACGAATATTTTCTCATCGGAGAAAACTAAATTCGGCAGTTCACCACTTTCAGCCAAGCGAAGCAATTCTTTAGGTCTTTTGAGTGTATTTTCTTTCTGTTGCGGTGTAAGTTCTTGTACTTTTTTGAAATTTCAATGGATTTACCCCGAGCTCATTTTTAAAAAATTGCCGAATGGAATATTTCGATGTGTTCAGTTCATGGGCCATTTTTCGGTCATTGCGTCGCGGGTTTCAATCAAGTCACTTCTTTACTTTTCGGACAATTTCTGCTGATGTTGCTGTTTTCTTCCATCCACTTCCTTGACGTCGGGCTATGCTACCAGTATCAGGAAACGAGCGATGTTTCAAGACACAAAAGATTTATTCAAATTTAAATGCTGAAGTGCTCTATCGTACTTGTGGTTTTCCAGCCAAATATAAAGAAATCACACTATCGCGCTTGCTTTCCATCACGAATAACTTTTTTCTGGAGATTTTTTAACCGAAATGCTTTCGTACGCTTATAAACAATATAATGAGCTGTCACTGGAATAATCTGAACAGCTGTCGGACCAGTGGCTTAGAAATGACAGTAGTCTGAAATTGGTTGTAGTTTTTTCATCTCACCCTGTATTTAGCTGTAAAATGGACCACAACTTTCGTGTGAACTAATTTAGTATTGAAACGTATCTGAAAGTGTAATGTCGATTTTCCGCTGACGAAGTAGCTGGAAATTGCTGGTATATAAAAAATATTTTTTTTGTGACTGATAATGATATTCGATGTAGAAAATGTTTGTTTCTGACGAACATTCTTGTAGAAGACCTATGTGTCATTTTGTAGTAGAACTACAGTTATTCCTACAGAAAACCAATCGGTATTTTTATAGAAGACCATTATGTATTCCAATAGGACATCTTATAAAAGACCAAAAAGTTTAAGGCTTTCTTGTAGAAGACAAGTAAGTGTTCTTGTAGAAGACCAAATGGTCTTCTTATAGAAGACCAGAAGGTCTTCTTATAAGAGACCGGAAGGATTTCCCAATAGAAGACTAGAAGGTCGTCTCATAGAAGATCAGAAGGTCTTCTCATAGAAGATCAGAAGGTCTTTTTATTGGCAGCCAGAAGGTCTTTTTATATAAGACACGTAGGTCTTCCCATAGAAGACCCCCAGGTCTTCCCATACAAAACTGGAAGGTCTTCTCATAGAAGACCGGATGGTCTTCTCATAGAAGACCGGATGGTCTTCTCATAGAAGACCGGATGGTCTTCTCATAGAAGACCGAATGGTCTTCTCATAGAAGACCGGATGGTCTTCTCATAGAGACCGGATGGTCTTCTCATAGAAGACCGGAATGTCTTCTTTTAGAAAAGCGGAAGGTCTTCTCTTAAAAACCGGATTAATAGGTCTTCTCATGGAAGACCGGAATTCTATAGACCTTCTTATAGAACACAAGTTGATCTTTTTATTTCTCTTATTTTTGTCTCTCTCTGTGTATTTTTCCTGTAATCATTTGGCTGACCAGAAATATCCTTTATTGAATATCAAGCAATGGTAATTGCCACGCAAAATGGAAAAAAATCAAAATCTCTATTCATGGCGACAGGATTTTCAAACGGCTGGCATAGTTTTGAAAGCATTTGTCGAATATCATGTGTACATTTGCTTTTTTCTCATTGATGCAATTTTTGGTCTTATTCATGCCGTGACGTGTCAAATGCAATTTTCCAGATTTTCATTTGATTTTGTTGTGGTCCATCCATTCGAGTCGTTTGTTGGTTGGTTTCTGGCGAGGGAGTGAGCGAGCGTATGTTTGCTCTCTAAAACGAGTGCATCATCATTTTCAATTGCAACTGCAAACATTTCATTTAACATCTGTTGTCGCCGCATAAATATCATCATTGATAAATATTAGTATGCCAGCACGCGACTCTATCCCATTTGTTTTATGGTGTGCAAAAATTGCAATCGGGAATTTGGATGGGGAAATGAATTGATTTCAGAGAAACGGGTTCGTTCATATAGTGATTGACCACAATTTAATTCAATGTGTGGCAGTATAATTCTGGTTTTGAATGGGCATTAATAAACCAGTTCTGTGAGTCGCAAATTAACATTAAAGGATATTATTTTATTTAAGGAGGTGAAAATATAACAATATTGAGGAAGATAAGCCCTTTTATTATTATTTTGATGATGAGTATTAAAATGTATCCCTTTACATTTTCCGCCAAAAGGAATCGATTTTCAAAAAAAAAAAAAAAAAAAATCACTGTTATTCTCCCAATAAAAAATATGTTTCTAAAAAAGTCCTTGGAGACCAATTTAAAAGATATCAAATGCATATGATGCCATTCTAATCCATTCAAAAGCTGATTAATTACGTTACGCTCTCAAAAAGTTTGCAATTCCCCTCTACAAATGCTCAACAATTTTCAAAAACGTGTATATCATTGTGTGTGTTAGTGTGCATGTCTGTGTGAATGAAATATTTTATGGTTGGCTTAACTTACCTTGTAATTTCCTCCACTAATTTACAGGGATCGGCAGCATAAAATTTAACACCAAAATATAAATCGTATGGATCTGCTTTGGGTTTTAATTGGCGGGAAATTCGTGAGGCTGGATCCAGCCAATGCTGTGGGAAACACCAAAAACCAGCAATGCCATGACGAAATGACACGTGCGGGCAACACCGACCAAATGGCAACAATTGATAAAACATTCCAGACGACGATGGCAATGTAAAACAATAAAATTCCAAGATGTAACGCAGAAGGAGGAGAACCGAAAGAAAGAAGAAAAGGAAAAAATAAAATTGAATGTAAATTGAATAAAACTTGTGAATGTTTATTTTAAGATAACTCAGGGTCGCCGGAACAAACCTTCTCACTCTCTCGCTCGTTCTTACTCTCTTCCTCGGTCGCCAACACTTCATTGCAGGACTGTTTAAAATTCTGTAAAGTTATGGTGAAAATCCCTGGCAATAAATTGTGAACATCCGCAATGAAAACTCCAGAAAGAGAATATACCATGCCAACGAATTCAATTCACTACAACTTGAATTCGATGCCCAGCCGCCAACCCCCTCACCCTCTTCCGCAACATTTCTCCAAGACAGCAAAACCAAACTTAATCTCTGGTTTATGTTCAACGTCGCCACTTTGGTTGGGCGAGGACACAATGCCATCACTCAGCCGTAACAAAAATATTGAGAATGGTTAGGGTTTTCGGAGGGGGTGTGTGAGGAGGGTTAAATGATTCTTACCCATATAATATGACCTTCAACACACCATGTTTTCAGCAAACACACTGCGTCCTGTAGTGTTTTAAAACAAGGGAGCCGTTTGAAACCAAAGTCATTTATAAAGGGACAATTTGAAAAGTTTTACTTCCTTCCTTCCTCGAGGAAGGCAAAGTGTGTGTGTCTCTGAGGGCAGATAAGAAAAAAAACTTTTGCTGTTTTTCTTTAAATTTCATAAAATATGTTCTCCCTTCGTTCTTCTTCTGTCAAATCAACAGATAACAATCGTAAATTGTGGAAATTTTTCAAGGAAATCGGAATCAAAATTTATATATATGTTCGACTGGCTCGATTTTCACTATCTAAATATCATCCGATGCCATGCATTATGGAAGGTTTTCCTAAATTCTAACACTATGCTAAACCAGGAGGAAAAATTCATTTTCGGTACATTTCATACCCTATATATTTTGCGATTACCCAAAAAAAAGGCTTAAATTCAAGCCTTGACCGAATATAACATTTCGCAGGGATTGGACGACCTGTAGAGTGATTATCATTTAATATTGAAAGACCAATACTTCGAAGTGTTACAAACCTTTTGGCCAAATAAAGCGCAAATTTTTATACTCTCTCCATGTGTAAATTTGACTTATGATCACATCGGCTATTCTAGTAATCGTCAAAAGGTCAAGGTTCCACTAAAGGGAACACACCACGAACCCGAAATATGAAATTACTTCAGATTTTGTTGAAAATCGGGATTACAACCTTGGAAATATCGAAAGACATAAATAATAGTTATATGGGGGCTCTGCAAAGTATGAATGAAAACCAGTGCGGAAAGTCCTAAAGTCGGGCGGGGCCGACTTTATGATACCCTACACCACTTTGCTAATTTAGTAGAGCTCCACATAACAATTAAAAGTTTTTATGGGAGAATTCAATCATACACGCTATGATTACAATTATAATTTAAAGTTCAAAAGACTAAATATGCCGAAGCATTTGCATCTTTTAAATTCGGACTTGTATTGCCCATTCGGTGCTATATCCAAATCTGAACCTATCTCGATAAAATTTGGCAAAAATATTTCTTAGCTGTATTTGATATATTTCCCTGAATATCGTTGTTACGGAGTGCATATTACGGCTGTGGGTAACAAATACAACAAATCGGATGAACAATATATATGGGAGCTATAGCTATATCTGAACCGATTTCGATCAAATTTGGCATACTTATTTCCAAACCTAATGTGCAAAATTCCATACTATTCGAGCTGATATTACACATTTGGTGCACAATAAAAGGCAAATCGGACGAAGATATATATGGGAGCTATATCTAAATTTGTACCGATTATATTTTGTACCTTGGGCCAAACAAATGTTGTTTGGCAAATTTCATCTCAATCGGATAATTAATGCGACCTGCATTTTATTCACAAGAATACATGGACAGACGGACGGACAGACGGACTGACATGCATAAATCAGCTCAGAAAGTGATTCTGTGGAGATCCTCAAAAGTAACTATGGATCTATCTCGTTTCCTTCTCCATGTTACAAACAAATACACAAATGTTTGGGCCAAAAATTATGTAACACCTCGAAATATTGGTTTCCCACATAGGAAAGTATATATGGATCTTCTTATGTCGCCGATATGAGTCGATCTAGCTATGTATGTCCATCCGTCCGTCTGTCCATGTTAATTTGTAATCACTCTACAGGTCGCAATTATGAACCGATCCTCACGAAATTGAAAATGGAGGTGGGGTTATGGTCAGAATAGAACCCTATTGTTTTTGGAGATGATCGCACGATATTTAGGGGTTGAAATGGACCAAAAACAAAATTCCTGATTTTGCAGTTGCTCTATAGGTCACAATTATCAACCAATCGCCGTGAAAATTTACATGGAGTTAGAGTTTAGGAGTGGGCAGAAGCTTGCCAATTTGGGCGGGCACCGGACAATAATTAGCGGGTAAAATAGACCCTAACTTTTATGTAAGAAAATATGAAAATTTCCACTAAACCGCGAATATTTTCAACCCCAGCCAAATCACTAATACATTAAAATATCACTTTTGACCATTACAGTGATACTAATAGCCAAGAAATCGGGTATATAGCAAAATAGGTACAATATATATGTAAAAGAATTGATCTTATTTATTTTGCTTATAAATCAAAAACCGCTGGGCCGATTTTCACAATTCCCATCAAATCGGAATGTTCTTTTGACAGAAAAGCAGAAAATCTAAGAAAATTGCGGAAATATATATAAATAAAGAAGTGAATATTTTTTGTTCCATTTTTTTCAATTCTTGTCATATTTTTTATCCCATGCGATTTTTTCAATTTGACTTACAATTTTGAATTGTAATTTTTCTAAATGTTTACACCCTTCAACACTACATTTTGAGGGTATTATATGCATGTCGAAATTATCGTCCGATCCTCACGAAATTTGGCATGTAGGTAGGGTTATTGTCAGAATTAAAGCCTATTGTTCTTAAGATGTACATTTTTAGGCGCAAATGGACTAAAAATTCTAATTTTGTTGTCGCTCTATAGGCCACAATTGAAACTAATCGACACGGAATTTCGCATCGGAAAAAACGAAATCTTACAAAATGGATTTGGATATAAGGGGACTTCGAACATATTGCAGTGTTGTAGAGTATCACATGGTCGGCCCCGCACGACTATAGCCTTTGCTTACTTGTTTTCAAATACAGAGGGTGTATATCTGCCTTCAAGGCGATTTTCATCGTTTTTATTTCATGACATTATAAACTAGTTTTATAAAAACAATTCACTACAAGCTCCGGACCTGAAATTAAACAGGTAGAACTTAAACATGAGATATAAGAAATGCTGCGCATATATACCTTAAAAACTTAGAAGATGTGTACATATATTTTCTTATTCTATAGTTTATTTATCACTACCTTCATAAAGAACTTAAAACAATCTGAGCAATATCATTTTTATAAGAACCCTTTTCATAATAGTCCTTCAAATTCCAAATCATGCTTTCGAGTGATAACTGTGCCACCTAGTTTCCATTTCATCTCATTACTGAAGTATCGACCAAGTTGTAAAGGCAGAGGCAAAGAGAAAGTTTGTTTTGCTGTCTGTTAAATACTGTTTAATATGTTTTCTAAATAAATATTATTTTTTATCAGGGTCGTTGTTGAGAGCCACGAGTTTAGCAACAACACTTTGGGTCCAGTTAGTAAAACGAGACAAAACAAAGTTTTGCCAAAGCAAAAGTTTACTTTTCATTTCCATTAATTACGCCTGATCACATTCCCCTTCTTTTCCATGGAGTTTGTTCAATGGGACGATAACCGGTCGAATATCTGCACGGCCGAGAAGGTCTGCAGGTTTGAGAAAAAAGCGAAATACATTTAAAATAGAAAAATAAAACTTCTCTGTCAGTGATGGTAGGATGGCATAATTACAAATATCCCTTTTGCAAGGCATTCCATGCCATAGCGACAACCCTTTTACCCACCCTCGACCACATGTTGGGCCTTGGACAGCGTTTAACTCATGCCAAGACGTGGCCAAGAGGAAAGGCGAAAACAGAGAGAGAGAGAAGAGCAGCGATGGGGTTTGTTTGCCTATGGACGTTTATTTGTATTGATGATGTTTATTTTCCTTAATGATGATGTACATGTAGTTGTAAAATATTTACCGTTTGATTTTCTTCATCGATGTAACGAATGCCAAAGAATGATGTTTCAATTAAATTCAGTCGGGCAAAGACAACATCCAACAGTGCCTGGCCGGGTAAATCGTCCTGCAATGAAACGGAAAAAAGAGAAAAAGAAAAAGAAAACACATTAAAGAGGCAATCAATAAAAGGAATTGATAATATAGTAATGATTTTTTAATGTCATACCTACCTACTAGGCCGAACCAACGGAAAGTAAGTAGAAAGAGAAATTAAAAAGTTTTATAAAACAGGATTAACAAAAATGTTTTAATGTTTCCATGTTTATTGGGTCGTTAGAGACAAAAAAAAATGTTGCGATTAATGGTTTCTTTGATTAAGTATTTAGGAAATTTTATTCAATTAAAAATTGTCAGAAGAGGAGAACTATGTCAAGGTGAATGTGTTTACAGAGTTAAAGGACGTTTTCTTCCATTTGTGAATTTAAAAGGGGGATATTACAACAAAAACGTTAATGAATCCAATAAAATCGAGCGTGACTTAAGGGAGAGGATTTGTCACCCATTAGGAAATAGAAATAGCAAATTGAAGATAATTCAGTTCATCTTTAATGAAAAGATCTTTAGTTAAATTGAATATATTTATACTCTAACACACTATGTTATGAGGACCCTTGATGCTACATATTGATTGTCCTATCTCGGTGAGTTGAGTCGATGTAAGTATATGTGTCCTTCCTTGTGAATTCCTATTCACTCACAGGTCGCAATTATCACCCGATCCTAAGGTAATGAACGGATTTAGGGTCACAACAGAAGCCTGATTTTGCAGGCGCTCTTCCTTTCACAACTATAGACAAATGACGGAATTATAGGGTTAGGGTTAAGAAAAGGAAAGTAGCCTATAATTTTGAATGGTCATCAGATATAATTTGGGGGAGGGTTGAAATTTTTTGTGTGAAAAATTCAAAATGTTCCGTTCATGAGCGAATAGATTCAATGATGACAGTCACACTCTGCAATCTATATTTTCAAATATCTTTTTAATTCCTATCATTACGACAGAAAATTGGGTGATTTTGCATGGACCGTTTACTTGACTTTTAGACATAAAATAGTATGAAATAGGTGAGATGTTATTCTAATAAACAAAATTTTTTTGGAAATATTGATTTAAGATCTGTGCATATTGTCCGCAGGAAAGAATTTAATAAAGACAAGATCCGAATTTAAAATTTGAAATTAATGGATTGTATTACCCCTAAAAATCTAATACATCGAATAATTTTTTAAGTACGAGTATATCAATCACGTACCCCAAAGAATCGTGTATTCTGTTCAAAATTGTTTCAGGTCTACAGAAATCATAATGGTATGGGGCATCTGATAGTGATTTCTTTGTATTTGGCTGGAAAACCACAAGTGGCTATCGTTACAGCACTCCAACATTTAAATGTGAATAAATCGTTTGTGTATCGTACCATCGCTCGTTACCGTGATGCTGGTAGCGTAGCCCGACGTCAAGGAAGTGGACGGAAGAAAACAGCAACATCAGCAGAAATGATTCGAAAAAGTAAAGAAGCGACTAAGTGGTCGACGATTGGCTCGTGAGCTGAACATGTCGCAATATTCCATTCGGCAAGTATTGAAAAATGTGCTCGGCGTAAAGCCATTGAAATTCCAAAGAGTGCAAGAACTTACATCGCAACAGAAGGAAAATAGACTCAAAAGAGCTAAAGAGTTGCTTCGCTTGACCGAAAGTGATGAACTGCCGAATTTGCTTTTCTCCGATGTGAAAACATTCGTTGTCCAGCAGTTTGTAATCAAACAAAATGATCGTGTTTACTTGCCAAAAAGGTCAACTGAAAATATGCACCTTCGGTTGATCACCAGAACTCAAGCGCCGGCCATGGTGGTGTGGGCCGCCATAGCAGCCCATGGTCGCTCTCCGATCGTATTAATCGAAGGTTGTAGCAGAATAAATGCAGAATATTATAGCGAAAATATTCTTGAGGGTGTATTAAAGCATTGGGCTCAAAAACATTTTGGCCGCAGACCTTGGACACTCTAAAAGGACTCAGAACCATCGCACTCAGCTCGCCCACTTAAGAATGGTTACAAAATGATGTTCCTCGTTTCATTTCCAGCTCACAATGGTCATCAAAATCTTCGGATACTAATCCGTTGGACTATTGTGTTTGGAGTATTTTGGAAAGCAAAGTTGGCACTAAAAAATACCAAAGTGTCGATCACCTCAAGCAAGCGCTTCGCCGGGAATGGCCCAAAATACTGCAGCGTGTGACGGTTTCATTGGCCGTTTTAAGGCCATAATTCGTGTCAAAGGTAACCAACTCGAACAAATCTAAACTTATTCTAAAATTTGATGCTATTTCCGACATTTTTTGCTTTCATTCAAGAATATTAAAAAAAAAATTAAAATTACGGCGTTTGACTTTGATGCAGTTTTTTTTTATCTCACCCTGTATGCCCTCAGCCTATGTCAGTTTATTAAATTGTGTTGGGATACATGAAATCTGAAGCTTATTTCACATTTTATGAGAGATATATTTATTTTAAAATTTTACCCTTCGTGGTACGGAATGGAGCGATACGATATGTTCCGTCTTCTTACCAGATCTTGTGTTGGTAAAATATTGGGATGAGCGAAATTTGAAGACAATCGGAATCTTAGTTCTCATTTTATAAGAGTTAAAATTATTCTAAATTTTGACCCTTTGTGGGGGAGGTACTAGATTTTCGCACCTGACCTAGCACTAACAAAAATATTGGGCCAAGGTCGAATGATCCCCTCTCTTTCTATGAGGTAAAGTATTTTCCTTAAAATTTTTGATCTTTTTTAGGGGAGGTACCAGAAGATGTGGAACGATATTGTCCATTTCCGAACTCGATCTAAGTTGGAAAATAATATTACGTTGTAACAAGTTTGGACCAAATCGGATACTACAGACTGGCGGACGGACAACCCTAGATCGACTCCTGAAACGAATTTTGTCCAAAGACGTCTAGGTTCTAAGGCCGTTATTTCGTTGAGGCACATTTTGACTGTATCTAATGATATTAACCCTTTGTAGGCATATGGCTGAGGGTATAAAAATTGTGGTAGCAAAGGCATAAACGAATTATAGACTTTTAGAGTTTTAATGATTTTTTTTACCAAATTGTTTATACATATACTTATCTTAATAAATTACTGAGATAAAAATGATTCTACTGTATACATTTTTGCATAAAATAGCATAATTTCTAGATATAGATGAATAATCAAAGAAGAATTGGCGATAGGGTCCGGTTCAAATAAAAGCCCTCGATTAGTAATTTAAGAATATATATGATTTATATGGGAATGATTTCAGATAATTGATTTTTTTCGTTTTTTTTTTAACCAAAGTAGGGCATCTACCAAAATTTTTGTATTTCATTTTCCCTAACGCCAACCCTACTTGTTTTTAATATATTTAGGCAAAGTATTTTCATCTCAGTAATTTTTTAAGATTTTCAAACTTGTCAGCAATTTTCAGCAATTTGTCATTAAAATTGTAAATGTCTATTATTTGATTAACCCTTTGTGCACCAACACAAATTGCGAATGGTTTGTGTCTTTGCTAATACAATTTATCCTCGCTGACATATTTTAAGGTTCAAAGTACTAAAAGCAATAAAACTAACTATAGCTTCGGAAATATGAGGGCCTCTCTTGGATGAGGCAAGGAAAGATTTTCAAAAATACTTACTTTAAGATATCGAACAGTACTTTGATGTGTTATTATATTGTCCAAATGGTCGATATTTTGCTCAAAGAATAATTTAAATTATAACGTTATGTAAACATTTTTTTCCAACAAGTAAAAAAAAATCTATGTTCGACCGGGCCGAACTATGCATAACCTCCACCATTTGGAACGAATTTGAAAATTTCAAAAAAATCCGTTAAAATACGCTTAAAATCTTAAAATTACCGAATGTAGCCGTTATATTAGGGTCGACGACATAAGCCATTACAATATCCAAATGCGAAACTTGAAAAAAACAAGTTAAAAAGCAGTAAGTTCGGCCGGGCCGAACTTTTAATACCCTCCACCATTTGCAACGAATTTGGAAATTTTTAAAAAATAAAATCCTTAAAAAAATTCTGTTAAAATTTTAAAAATACCGAATATAGCCGTTATATTGGGGTCTATACAACGTGGACATACATAGGCATTGTTCGTCATAAGCCATTACCATATTCAAATTCGAAACTTGAAATAAACGGTGAATAATGTAGCTAAAATCATCAAAATATCGTATATAAGGAGGTGCCGGTAAATTGGAGCTGGACAATTTTCTGTCACAGGCTGTAGTATCTATTTCAAACTTCAAATACCACATCTCAAACAATTTCGGTGGGTATTGTACCTAAAATCGTCAAAATACCGAATATATGGAGGTACTGATATATGGGCCTATACGAAGACCTGGACCCACACAGACAATTTTCTGTCACAGACTGTAGTTCCCATAACGAACTACAAATACCAATTTTGAAACAATTTCGGTGAATAATGTCGCTAAAATCATCAAAATACCGAATATAGGGAGGTACCGTTATATGGGGGCTATATGAAGACGTGGACCAGCACAGACAATTTTCTGTCTTAGGGTGTAGTATCCATTTTGAAACAATTCCCGTGAATAATATCGCTAAAATCATCAAAATACCGAATATCAGGATGTACCGTTATATGGGGGCTATACGAAGACGTGGACCTGCACAGACAATTATCCGTCTTAGGGTGTAGTATCCATTAAATACCAAATTTGAAACAATTCCCGTGAATAATGTCTCTAAAATCATCAAAATACCGAATATAGGGAGGTACCTTTATATGGGGGCTATATGAAAACGTGGACCTACATGGCCCACTTATGAACTTAACCTGCCTACTGGAAAAGTAAACACGTGTGCACAATTTTAGCCTTCCATCTCAATTCGTTCGAAAGATAGCGTGATTACAACAGACAGACGGACAGACAGGCGGACATCGCTAAATCGACTTAGAATTTTACGTTGATCAAGAATATATATACTTTGTTGGGTCTGATATGAGTATTTCGAGGAGTTACAAA